AGGGAAGGCAACTGGTTTTCACAGGCAGGGAAACCTTTTTGAACTGAACTTCTTTTCAAGAAAAACCTTTCTCTAGATGGTCAAACAAGGGGCCTGTTTCTCGAAGGTCCCGAAAAGTTTTCGCACCTGAAAAGCCTTGGCAAAATCTCAAACCTCATGTCTTCAGAGCTGTTTTATGCACATATTCTTAATATGAACAGAGGTTCTCTTCATACAAGAAGTTTCAGGTATATACACCTCTCTGTCTTTAAATATGGATTAACAAAAATGGCTTTGCGCACCCAAAAAGTTTCTGGGGCTTTCGAGAAAGGAGCCCCAGGTAGGCAAAATCATCCTTACAGGCAGTCCATTTTCATGGTGCCTGGCTCTCACTGAAACCACTGACAGTGTTATTGTCACTGGATAAGTTGACTTCTACCACTTTGCAACAGAATTTCTCGTGGTCCTGCAGGGAACCTCCCTTACTTGTCTTATCCGTTAAATGCTCCTCGCATAGATTTAAAACTCAGTCAGGTGGACCTCGCATTTATTTGACTTTTGCAGGACCTATTTAAGCACCGAATTTTGTTAAGCGAGGGTTTTCATTTATTATTGTTGGCAGCCATACACCCTGGTGTTATTGCCTTCAGCTTATTATGCATTAAATACATATTTGAGACGACCATTTTCTGCTCCTTCTTGGAGACCAAACATTTAATCAAGAAAATAATGATAAATGCATTGCACATTCAAAACTGGTCATTTTTCAAACCTGCCTGTCCTGGTAGTTTAACCTTAGCTGTTCTTTTCAACCATCATTCTGAAGTTTGCCCCTGGGTATTTCCTGTACAGGACTTTATAACCCTGCCATGTTGAAGTAATACTATGTTTGTGTTTGTATGCCTGCCTGCTTGTTTGTGTGTTTGTTTGTTTGCTAGAGTTGGTTTAAAACAATTCTAACCATTATCATTTATGATGCTCCCAATGTCTTACATGATACACATTAATTGCAACAATTTAACCTGTTTTTCAGGAGTACAATGAGATTCCACCTGTCAAACGGACATTGTCCTCACGCAGCCATGAGCAAGCATCAGCACCACCCAGTTATCCAGCTAATCAGAATCATGTTGACGACAACACTGACTACTCTCATCAAAATGAGATGTAAGTTTATTTAAACAGAACCTACCAATAATCCAACTTAAGTTTATGATGAAATACACATTATCGTTATTAAAAAGATGCCTAGAAAGGACTTGCAACTCTTTACAAATAACTTTCTGTAGAATCAAAGTAAACTCCACTGTTAGATCAAGATGAGAGAGATAAGATGTTTGTTTACAAAGCTTCATTGAGCAGCACAACTTTTCATTGTCATTGTCTCTGTTTCCATTTATAGTAATCCATTCAACAATTACACTACAACAACAAGTGAAGACTTTAGTGATCCATCAGCAAAAGATGAGTGGGATATTGAGCCTCCTCCAATTGAGGATGCTGGCATTCCCGTCAGGGCTTTGTACGACTTTCAGGGAGTGGAAGAGGATGAACTCAACTTCAAAGAAGGGGACGTTCTCACGCAGCTATCTTCGCAGGATGACCAAGGGTGGTGTCAGGGAAGATTTCAGGGTAGAGTTGGACATTTTCCAGGGTCGTATGTGGAACCACTATAGAAAGCAGTTCTTTTGCTGGCACTGTGGTCTTGTTCTCCAAGGCTGAAGTTTAACTTAGCTTGTAAGCTTAGTCTTGGCTGATGACCAAGTGATTCCACCCTTCAATGATGTAATCCTGGTAGCGTAGGTCAAAGCCATTAATTTAGTTAAGGTGTATACAGTTTAAGTATCAAGTCTCTGACGGAATCAGAAAAACTTGATTGATTGGACAAATCGTAGTGAATAGTCGATAAATCTATATGACCAATGTACACTGTAGTGGTCATATGAAAAGGAACATATTTGAAATTAATTTGGGTGCAAGAACGAATTTGCTAGCTTGTAAATATTATTAGGTTCTATGTTAGAAATCTAGATTACAAATAAGAGATTCAAAACAATCCTCCATTTTGGGGAACTAAGTTAAGGAACAGTCTTGTTTCCAGGAGCATAAGGGAAAATTCTGCCAATATTTCAAAATTCACTCCATGTGTAGGGTTATGCATCAGCAGAGCCCTGAGACAATGTTGGTTTCTGGTGAAACTGTTGTGCTTCAGTAGAGGGCAAGTGAAATACTTTGGTCATGTATATTATTTACAACTTGAAATTGATAAAGGTAAATTAATAATTATTATGGTAATGAATTATAAAGCTGAAGTTTTGGGTGTCTATGAAGCAAAAGTTTTTGCAAATTTTTTCAAATTCACTATGGTAGTTAACATACCTTTAAAGGAAAAGGTCACTCCAAAAACCGTATAGGTTTTGTCAACGCTGATAAAAACCTCACACTAAGTTTAGCCACTCACCAAAGTTTCAGCCTCTAAAGTGCAGGTTTTCCTTATGAAATACGTCTCCAAAGGAGCCCAAATTTCGACATTGTTGCCGCCATTTTGAACAGTACTCTGCAGCCAGGCTGCGTTTTCGTGACGTCATTCTGTCCAACAGATTTTGTCCAAATGGCCTCCGACAAGCCTTTTAACTACCACTCTGGATTATGGCTGCTCTTGGTCCGTATTATTTTGAGCCAAACATGCTCCAACTCCGAAAATGATAGCAGTGAAGATAGTAAAAAAATACGTTTTTCTGACCTTGAGAGGGATGCAAAGCCATTTGCAGGTTTTTCTCCTTCCTGCCAATTTCAAGTAGGATGGAATGACGTCACATAAACACAGCCTGGCTGCCAAGCACAGTTCAAAATGGCGGTCTCCAAAATGGCTTCTTTCGACACGAATTTCTTCAGGATAGTGGCACTTCAGAGGCTGAAACTGCGGTGAGTGGAAAAGCTTAATGTTAACTTGCTTTAGGCGAAGACAAAAAAGTAAGCTTTTTGGAATGACCTCCTTTGACAGCTTCAAGTTGATAATTAACCAAGTGTCCTCTGTTATTTTTGCTCCACTAGATGGATCAATACATAAATATATATACAGTATTATAGAAATATAGTTTTTTATACAACTGTGTTGTTTTGAGCAGCACCATGTTACATTATTCAAGTGAAATGAAATTTAAAAGAGACTATAGCTGCAGCGTAGAAGCTTGTAAGAAACTTGAAATACATTTGGTGTTGATTAGAGTTTAATGGGCTATGCTGAAAATGTGATTTTTCTGTAATTTGTTTATTTGTGATTTGGAACCCCACATGAACAAGCTTCTGAAATGTAAATCATGTACTGGTTATTGAGTACCGTAGAATAACAAGTCCTGCACTGATATTCTTTGATTGGTTTCTTTTTAAATTGGAAAATCCAAGTTGTAGTTATGGATGAGGGATGAGAAACCAAGGGAACTCCCATAAAAAAGGACAGGGGTGCTTGCCGTATCTTTTAGGATTAAAAAAGCATTTTTGGTATCCCTTAGGGTGTTCAGCCCCAAAATTTCCACAGCGGGACTTTCGCTGTACCTGAGACGAAAAAGCTATGACGAGAGATATTTGACAATCAGCTGAGTCATAATGTGTCTCATTTACACCGCGAATCCAAAACTCATCGATAAAAGACCTTCCTCTTAGGGGTGGACAAAAATATGTCAGGCCACGCCCACTAAACAGGACCTTGGTACCTCTAAGGGGTTCGTTTTAAAATTCACGAGCACCCCTGTTCTTTTTATATGGGAGTCCCTCACTCTCTTTCGCTTAGTCCGTCGTGCGTGACACGAAAGAAAACTGCAATAAAAAAAGTGGCCGGGCGAACTCCTGGAAGCGAGAAGCACGTCTCGCCCCAGGATTTCATGCGGTCAATTTTTTCTCGCGGTTTTCTTTCGCGTCACGCACGACGGACTAAGTGAAAGAGGGACCACTCGTAGTTTACTCACTGGGATGGACTGGGATGAGAGCTAGACTCTGTGAATCCGCTGACCAAAGTATAATGCTTTCGCAGTCGTAGCGATTTCAAATCGAACTCGCGCTACGCGCTCGTTCGATTTTGAAATCTCTCGTATGTGCACTTCACTCAGTTCAATTACCATTATAAATCTACTAGCCGTACAAAACTTTATCTAAATCCTATTCACAAACATTTCGAAAACGCCGAGAAGCGGCCGTCATTTTGTTAACAAGGGTACACTGCTGTGCTACTCACTATCTATCACAGAATAGATAGAGAGTAGCCTAGCCAATCGGAGAACGACATTCGTGATAGAACGCTAGTAGATTTATACTAATATTAATTATCATTACATCAATTATTATAATTATTCCCGAAGGTGTCCGCTTAATACAGGTCTGACTGCACTTGACTGCCGAAAAATAAGATACTGAAAATCACAAGATTTTTAGACGAGAAACGGAATGGAGAATTGAGGAGAATTCGAACGATGCGCTTCGCTGTTGATAATAAAAAATAATAATACTAATAATAGTAATAACAATGATAATAATTTATTAATTTATATTGCGCTTTTTAACATTCAATGATCAAAATCGCACTACAAGATGCGCAGCCAAGCATCAAACAAAGTGAGTTCTGGGTGCAAGATTAGGGGGTCGTTATGATGAGAGAGAATCTTTCATTCCAAAAACTAATTGGACTTGTTTGTTTGTTTGTCTGTTCTAAACATAATGATTTGACACATTTTTGCAAGTTCTGCAGCTAAAATTAACATTTCAAGTGTATACTTAAGCAAGCTTTCCAATAGCAGCCTTGTATTTAAAAAAAAGTCAAATCAACAACGCTAGGGCAGATGGCCATTTCTATAGCTTTACCTGGATTTAACGATCTTGGACGTTCGGTGACCCCTATTTTTCTTTCGATGGATCATTTTCTCTACCGATTTTCTACGTTTAGCGAAAAAATGAAGAAAATCTATGGATTAGAAGTTTGAATTTTTTGCAAAATGCTCCATCGAATTCCGTTATTTTTAGCTCTTCGTTTATCTGTGCGGCGGTTTCAAATTTCTCTTGAAGGGTTAAGTTTTGTGGAAACGTTGGCATCGTTTGGAATTATTTACGAAACAGACCCACTTCTACAAAGTATGAGTAAGATAGTTTCCCTCAGTTGACTCACCTTCGATATTTTTAAGTATAAACCCCTATAGACCATGCTGAATTACATGCAACAATTTTTCAAAATCAGGGAAGTTCTCCACACGCTTTATCTCCGTCTGAACCGAAGTCGGTGACCCCCAATTTTTGACTGACTGCAGTAAAAATTCAAAAAAAAATCTATCGACTGGAAAGTTTCCGCGCGAACGTCCTTTAAGTGAAGTAATATGTGTCCTCTTGAAAAATACATGGTGTTGGTGGCTGATCATTGCTGGAAAGAAGTGAAAAAAATACTAATAATACTCAAAATGATACACAAAATTGTACAAAGATTTCGTAGTGAAGTAGACCTGCTTGTACTAATGGCTTGATACTCCAGAATACTTATAGTGTAAGTATTAGTATAGGAGTGTTAATGTCGAGTTTTAGCAAAGACACTTCCGAAGTTTTTCTCTTCTCACAATAAGGAGCTACACAAGAATAAAACAGCAGGGCGGTGCAAATTGTTGGGCGTATCAAATATTGGGGATTCCGTTACTTTGCGGCTGGCAAATTTACTCTAGGTAGAGTTTATTAATAGGGAGTTTACGAAAACCACGACGGTAACGGCAACGGCAACGGGAACGTCGCTAAACCAAAGGTTTAATGATGAACAATGGCTGTGCACGTGCGTTATAATTCTTGGTACATTTCTTTACCGTCCTCTACAAAACAACAACCTGGTGAAATGACCAAATTCTTCGTTGTCCAGAGAATGTGAACCGCGAAGGATAATTTTTTAATTTTTATTTCAAATGTTTCGCCCTGTCCGAGATTCAATATCGTGATGGAAAATGACTTTAGAGTATCGCGAGATTCGTAGGTAATTATAAAATATAATATCATTTTCAATCGACGTTGTCGTCGGTGTCGCGTCCTGGTTTCTTAACTCCCTATTAGGACCTATTGGGAACCTCGTTACGCGGTAGGATACGGGGTGCGAGGGTATGGGCTTTTGCAAACCCTCTTCCCGCCTCTGCCTGTTTTTGCCTTGAGTATGAGGTAAGGAGTATTGTCTGTTGGATCACTGTGTGTTCAGGCTCTTGGTTGAAGACTCGACGTGAAAACACAGCGACGACGAATCGCTCTTCTTTTCATATGACCTTGTTTGCCTGCGTCGAACGTTAGGTGCCAGCCAAGGACTGCTCTCTTGCAGGAGTGGAGTCCACAAATATAAATGGACTCCTTGCTCTCGTCATTACCGATCGTCGGGCGCTTGGACAAGTTATGTTCCTGATAAATATATTTAAATATAGCTATTAATGCCAGCCAGCTTTGCTAAGAGGGTCCTAAGAAAGTTATGCTCGGAAGATAGTTTATGCTCGTGTAGATAATAAAAACGTAGTCAGCCTTTCCCGCGATTCTCACCTCGCTCAACGAGCGCCAGACTTTTGCAGGTAAGGGAACCCATATACTTTTGAATCGAAAATAAGGTTACTAAAAAAGCCTCCTGGACAAAGGCTTAGTAGAGGAATTTTTCGGGGTAAAGAAAATCATACTTCGTTCAGGGGGGAGAGAGTACTTGCCAAAGTTTTGTTGGACCACGGTGTGCGGCCCAAACCTTGAAGCACGTACCCTATT